GCATCAGGAATGAATGAAGAGCTGAGAGAAGTGTAGCAGAACATGTGAAAACTAATCTAATTATAGACAAACACCTGATACAGCTTGAAAGCAAATGAAGAGCAGCTACCTCCAAAGTGGAGTTTCCTGGAATAGAAATAGGATTGAAATATCCTGTTTGAAAAGGTTTATTTCCTGACATGGAGACTCAAATTAAGAAACATAATAGACTTTCTTTCTGGAAAAAAAAAAGGCCTGAGAAAACCTAAAAAAAACCCCACCCCTGGCGAAGGGACAAAAGAGGATTTTTTGTCCATTTAAATTCTGTCTGAGCTCCAAGGAAGGCACAGAACTGGGAGAGATGGCAGAAACAAATGGTGTCTGTTTATCAGAAGGCAGATAAAGTCTTAATCTCTCCCTAAGCTTTGCCTACAGCATTCCAGAATGGAGATCCAGGACCCTTTCCCTCCATTCCAGAAGGCTCCAAACCAAAATCCAAACAAACCCCAGAAGGTCTTGTCAAATAATGGAAAACATAGGAAAGAGGAGAATACTCATTGAGGTTATTTGGCTCACCTGGAGAGGCTTCTCTCTGCCAAGAGCTGCTTCTTTGTTTTCTTCCAATGAATGTTTGGTAGAAATCTTGTAGGAGAACTCTGCACAAAGCTCTGATCAGGGGGCCTGATGGCATCAAGGAGGTGGTTGATCCTGGAAGTATTCAGGTGTGAAGTTAGCTTTGCAGTGGGAGAAAGATCAACAGGGCAAGAGAAGGAAACACATGTTCTCCTCCAGATCCAAGGAGAAATCAGTGGCACAAGGAAAAAGCTTCAACTCCCTGCCAGGAAGTGCACCCAGGTGGGCTCAGGCTCTGCTCCCAGGAAACAAGGGACAGGACCAGAGGAAACTCCTCAGGCTGTGCTAGAGGAGTGTCAGGTTTGCCATCAGGAGGAATTTCCCCATGGAAAGGGCTGTCAGGCACTGGGATGTGCTGCCCAGGGAGGTGGTGGAGTCATCATCCCTGGAGGTGTCCAAGGAACTCAGGACATAGCACTCAGTGCTCTGGGCTAGCTGAGAAGTGGTGATGGGTCCCAGGTTGGACTTGGTGGGTTTGGAGGCTTTTTCCAGCCTAATTGATTGTATGAAATCATGTGCATGTGTTTGCAAGTATGAGGCACCTTGGTGAACCTCTGGACATATGGATTTCATCCTCCCAAAAATCCCTTAGCACATATTTTGGGTCAAACCATCTACCAAAGGATTCCAACTGCCTTCAGTGGGTTGGTTGCCCACAATTCCCAGTGGAAGAAACCATCACATCGCTGTGGATTCTCACATAAGGAACATCACTATTGTCCTCTCCTCAATGGCAGCATTTAAGGCCTGTGTCATTCCAATGATAATAGCCCTCAGAGGGGGTTCTTGCTCTTCCCAGTGCAATTAACTGGGGGGAGGAGGTGAGACCACAGCTGTTTATAGAGCTCTCAGAGGGCAGAAGGAATGTCACGTGCAGCACTGATTATCCTGCTGTGATTTACAATCAGCTCCACAGTCATCTCTGCTCAGCTCCAAGGGATTACTCAGGGGCAGAGGAGGCTGAGGAGAAGCCAAGAGCAGAAAGCTCCACAAGGGGAAATGCTGTACTTCTTGGGAGTGATCCACCTACTGAAAGGCTTCAGAGAAATCAGAGCTAAAGGGTTACAAGAGAGATAAAAAGGGACATTTCACAAAGGCATGGAGGGACAAGCCACAGGCAATGGCTTCACATTGGCAAAGGGCAGGGCTAGGTGGGATATTGGGCAGGATTTCCTCCCTGTCAGGGTGCTGAGGCACTGGCACAGGTTGGAAGGGACCTTAGAGATCATCCAACCTGCTGCCCTGGGCAGGGACACCTCCCACCAGCCCAGGCTGCTCCAAGCCCCATCCAGCCTGGCCTGGAACACTCCCAGGGATGGAGCAGCCGCCGTTTTTCTGGACATCCACAACTTTTCTGCTCCTCCAGGACTCAGTCAGAGGCCTCTTAGTGCCTCAGTGGAACGTCACCATCCCCCAGAACTCTCCTCAGCCTTCCAACCAGCCACATTTCCTATGTGCCATCAGCACTTTCCAAACAGCACTGACTTGGCAGCCTCAGCACAAGGGCTGAAATCTCCCCCAGGTTTACACTGAGCATCACCTCCCAGTAAAAAAATGTTTTTAGGAGACAACCTTGAAGGTTTCACAAGTGCGATCTGTCAGTGCCTCACTCCCCCTGTTCATTCAATCAGTGGTGACTCTCCCACTCCTCCACAGGAGGCACAGAGAGGAGCAGCAGTAGCCTGAGGTGCTTCTCCAGCTGCAGCCAACGTGGTTAGAAAGGTCTGTTGAAGCAACACATTCCATAGGTCATGGAGAGTAACACATTCTTCATGAAGTAGTTGGGAAAATATATGTTTTGGCTCCATGTCAATTGTCACTTCTGTTCTATGCAAACCTCAGAATTCTAGGGAAGGACACAATTATGAGGCTCTTTCCTCCCCCTGGGGCTGTTGTAGTGGGTGGAGGGACATAACCCCAGTCCCAGTGAACTTATCAAGCATCTCATTTGCTCTGGATTGTGTTTTCCTCAGAGCTCTTCAGTCAGGGGTTCCATGGAAATCGTGGCAGAGAGTTGGAGAAAAGTGAATCATAAAAAGGCCAATGAAAAAAAAATCTCATGTTTAAAACAGTTCTTATGTCTGTACTTACAGGCCACAAGTTGGAAATATCTAGGAGGGTTGGCTTCTAATTGAAGATTTCCAGGACATGAAGGAACTACAAGAAAGATGGAGAGAGACTTGGGACAAGGGCTGGAGGGACAGGACACAGGGAATGGCTTCCCACTGCCAGAGGGCAGGGACAGGTGGAGATTGGGCAGGAATTGCTCCCTGTGAGGTGCTGAGGCACTGGCACAGGTTGCCCAGAGCAGCTGTGGCTGCTCCATCCCTGGGAGTGTTCCAGGCCAGGTTGGATGGGGCTCGGAGCAGCCTGGGCTGGTGGAAGGGGCCCCTGCCCAGGGCAGGGGTGGAACTGGATGAGCTTTAAGGTCCTTCCAACCCAAACCAATCTGTGAGTCTCTGGTTCTATGACTCACATTTGTGCTGGAGACAGTGTCAGTGCTGGACAGATCCTGGAGCCTCTCTGAGCACAGCCAACATGTGCTCATGTCTTCAGGGACATTCCCGACCCCAACACGACTGTTTTCAATTTCAAAGCTTCCTCACAGAGTGAAGCCACTTCCCAAGCAACCACTGATGTCCCTAAGTGACAGGTGATGTGTTTGAGTGATTCAAGCTGAGCTGCAGCACTAGGAGCCCATGTTGACTTCTAATCACTCCTCATCTAACTTCCAAACAACACATCCCTGTGTGCTGCTTGGCCCCAGCTCAGCCTGCAGCTCCCAAGCAGGAGATGATTTTCAAAGGGCCCTTAAAACATTTAGGGACAGAACTGTTCTGCTGACACTGAGGAACTTGAAATTCCTCCTCAACAAAAGGGATTTTGATGCACTCTTGGTCTGTGAGAGCAAATCCCTGTGGCACAACCTTTCTGGGGTCAGGGCAGTGGCCACACCAAGCACTCTGAAGAGTTCTTGGATAGAGCAGTGTCCTCAGGCTGCTGGAGAAACCTCTGGAGTGTAAGATCCAGCTGTGAAAGAGAGACAAGCTGAGGATAAAGGAGTGATTGAGGCCATACCCAAGATCTTCCCCACTATTGGTTTGCTGAGCAAACATTTTCAAGCCAGGAGAAGTGCCAGTTGTTATTTTAGGCCTTACTCAACTCTGTGTGTCCCCACAAGCCACAAGCAAGACAACCAGAGGCTCTAGGAGCATGAAACTACTTATTTGAGACACTCAGAAACATAAGCTAAGGATTGAAGAGCTTCACTCTCAGGTTCTTTAATAAACAGAATGCAAAGTACTGGTATTCAAACAGTTTAGGCCTCTGGGAATGGCCACAGAAGGTGCCATTTTAGGTATCTAGCCATGGTTTGGCTCCATAGATTCTTCTGCCTCTCCAGCAAGACCACATTGTCCTCAAGTCTCTTGGAGATCTCTCCCAGCCCAGAGGGACAAACCAGCTGGCAACAAGCAAAAAGGCAAAGACATCTCAGAGGGATCTGAGGCCCTTCAGAGGGACCTCCACAGGTTGGAGAAGAACCACCTGGAATTCAACCAGAACAAGTGAAGGTCCTGCACCTGGGAAAGAACAAACCCAAGCACCTGGACAGGTAGGGCACTGACCTGCTGGGGAGCAGCTCTGAGGAGAATGACCTGGGGGTCCTGGTGGGTAACAGGCTGTCCATGAGTCAACAGTGTGGGGGACAAGGAGGAGTTGGTGCCACCTCACTGACTCAGGAACCCCCAAGAGCTAAATCCTCCTCAAATCCTCACAGGCTTGGCTTCGGAATAAAGTTTGGCTTAATAGATTTGGAGGATTGAAGTGTGGACTGTTTTGTGGTCTCCAGGACAAAGAGATTGCACCTGGTGAAGAGTTTAGGGAGAGAAACACTTTGTCAGTTGGGATAATTGGTCAGCAGATGCAACCCAGTGACATCTGAGGGATTCATATCACAAAGAACAAGTTGGATTTTTAATCTCAATTTTATTCCTTTTTTTTTTCAAAAAACAAGGGGGGGAAAAGCCCCCAACAAATTTCCACTGGAGAGTTCTTCATTTCTCATACACATACATGTTCTGAGGTCATTTGTCTTTGGAAAGATGTTACTTTTAGCCTTCTGGTGAGGGCTAAATCTTCATTATCAATGTAGTGCTCTAAGAGGAAAGAAAAGCCAGTTCAGAGTTGTCAAATCTCAATTTCAAACCACAAATTAAGGCTATTTAAATGACTTTTAGCAGAAAGAAACCTCAACTAACATCAGCTCATGTCTATACCACACACAACACATGTGAACTGGTTATTTATGATGGAGACGACTTATCCCAACTGTTTTCCAAAGCAAGAATAAGAAATTTGGAGGAAAAAGTTCTAAATATTTGGGATTTTCACTTCTTCTTGCCAGTTAGTTTCTCTTCATAGTCAACTGGGATGATGCCATTGCATTCTTGTGGCTTGGCCTGGGGATGCTTTATAAAGCCTCTTCTAATGACATCAATGTCACGTCCTAAATGTTCCATCATGGTTGAGACAATGGAAGGAGGAGCCTCTAAGTCTATCAGGAAGTACCTGGAATGAGAAACACACACAGAGGGATGAGAAAAACACCTGGACTGCAACCCCTTGGCTGGAGGTGACTGTTCTGAGGGATTTCATCACTGAAGCTTGCTGAGTTTTTGCTTAGATTTTGGTATATTGGGAGAGAAAAGGTCAGTGTTATCTTGGTTTCAAAGAGGAAATGTTCAGTTGAACTCTGCTTTGTTGGAGTCATGGAATAGCCTGAGTTGGAAGCACCTACAAGGATCATCAGTCCAACTTTTGGACACCCCAACACTGCACCCTGAGCCTGAGAGCATTGACCAAACCCTCCTGGAGCTCTGGCAGCCTTGGGGCTGTGCCCACTGCCCTGGGGAGCTGTTCAGTGCCCAAACACCTACGGGGAAGAACTTTTGCCTAATCTCCAGCCTAAACCCCTCCAACACAGCTCCAGCTCTTCCCTTGGGTCCTGTTACCTCAGTGGTTACTTTCCCACTGCACTGCAGGTCCTGATGGTGCTGAGCTCCAGCAACACTGAGCTCTGGCAGCCTTGGGGCTGTGCCCACTGCCCTGGGGAGCTGTTCAGTGCCCAAACACCTACGGGGAAGAACTTTTGCCTAATCTCCAGCCTAAACCCCTCCAACACAGCTCCAGCTCTTCCCTTGGGTCCTGTTACCTCAGTGGTTACTTTCCCACTGCACTGCAGGTCCTGATGGTGCTGAGCTCCAGCAACACTTCCTATCCTATTTAAGGCCCAGTCTATCCAGCTTGGTTCTTTCAGTGCACAAACCCTTAGTGCTTGGAGGGAACTACCTTTCAGACTATCAATTGCCTTCTCTACACACACATACAACGACAGGCAAGTGTCAATTTTATGATGCCACTTTGTATCCTGTGGTGTCATTTCTTCTCCAGCTCCATTTCGATTCCTGGACACCTCCAGCCCCTCAGGGTCTGCCTTGTAGTGAGCAGCCAGCAGTGACCCCAGCATTGCTGTGGGACCTCCCCAGTGCCCAGCACAGGGCACAGATGGGCACTGCCCTCAGGCCATGGAGGTTCAGCTCATTCACCCAAATCCTCTGTGCCAGAGAGATTTATTGCATGAACAGAGAAAATCAGCCACCACTGACAGATCCCACAGCAGCTGCAAACAGGTTGGATGTCACACGGAGTTGGTGCCACCTCACTGACTCAGGAACCCCCAAGGGCTAAATCCTCCTCAAATCCTCACAGGCTTCAGTGGGGAATAAAGTTTGGCTTAATAGATTTGGAGGATTGAAGTGTGGACTGTTTTGTGATCTCCAAGACAGAGAGACTCCACCTGGTGAAGAGTTTAGGGAGAGAAACACCTTTTCAGCTGGGATAATTGGTCAGCAGATCCAACCCAGCAACATCTGAGGGATTCATATCACAAAGGACAAGTTGGATTTGCTGCTAAAGCCATTAAAAGCCACTTGGTAAATTTAGCAGATGACACTTAACACTTCTCCTTGGGAAGACACCTTCCAAATCCAACTTACAGGATGGAGGATGAGGAGGGGCAGAATTCCAGCTGGTGATTCCTGTCCCTTCCGTTAGCAAGAAAACTCATCCACGGTGTTTTCTTCACCAGTTTACCCCCACAGTGACTCCAGGATTTCACTTCATTCCTGCCTGGAATCATCTGCTGCTTTTCATTGTGTTCCTAAAGCAGCAAGAGGGTTTTTTTCCCCCTTTTTTCTCTGCAACTTTGTGCTTTCTCTGCCATCAGCAAAGGGTGGAAATTTCCACTGACGCACTGTTGATAAGGGAAGGAGAGGAGGGGGGAGAAGGGAGGATGAGCTGTTCCAGCAGATCTTTCTGACTCCTCACAGAATAGGTATTTTATCTAAAGACACAAAACTGCAGTAATTGGGCACAATGTGAGGGTTGGAAAAACAACCAGCACATTTCAAGGTTAACAAGCAATGATTGCTTTCCTCTGGCATGAAAAAGAGAGAGAGAAGGGAGAGAGGACAGCGGGAAAAAGAGCTTTTTTTTTCCTTAAAGACAGAAAAGAAACCAAGGGTTGTAAAAATAAGAAGCAAGACAATGGACAATGAAGTCCCTGAGGAGATCTGAACCCTCTTTCCCCCACATCTACACATGGCAATCAACCATCACGAGGTCCGGAGAGGGCTAACCCTCCTCAAACCTTCATTTCAGGCAGTGATTTCTCCTGGTTGTGTAGTAAACAAGCCCAAATCCCAGGGAGACTTCGAGAAAGGGAAAAATACAGGAATGCAAGGAGGGAAACCACCTCATTCTTGCAAAGAGAAATGCAGAGGCATTTATGCTCTCTAGGAGTCAGAGGATTTGGGAGGGGAAAAAGGCAGGAAAATTCCACTGATTCACTCAGACCACAGTTATTTTTGTCATCCTGCTCTGCTGCAAACAGGAGGCTGATTTGAAGGCAGGAGAGCAGGCTGAAATCTGCTAAAACAATGCACTCACTGGGAAAAAAATGAGATATTAGAGGGCTCAGAGAGAGGAGGATGTGGCTTTGCATGTGAGGGGAATGAGAGAGGAAAGAGGGAAAAAAAACCCAAACAAGTTTCAGTGCTGAGTTTAAACAGCTTCAAGCCAGAAACTGTTTGAACTTTAAGTCATGAGGATGCTCAAATCTTCTGATTTCAAATGGACAAGTTAAGACTTCAAAGAACCTGGAGCAAAAGTCACTTTTAGATCCTCCTGAATGCAATTCTGTCAGCTTGGGGGGCTGAAGGAGAAAGTGCAGCTAGGGTAGGCCTGGAAGAGGCTGTGTCGTGTCATGGTTGTGGCCATAAAATGCCTCCCCCATGGGGAGGTGGAAGGTACAATGGAAGGAAACTCTTCTGAGGAACAGGCAGAGGTGAAGAATCAAGGAGGGAAAGGAGAAACCACCTGGAGGAGGGTGAGAGCAGCTTGACATTGTTTCTCATGAAGGTCATCCTATACAAAGGAGTGTGTGGCCAAAAGGAGTGGGCAGCAGGTCCAAGGAGGTGATTCTCCCTCTCTGCTCTGCTCTGGTGAGGCCACACCTGGAATACTGCACACAGTTCTGGTGTCCTCAACATCAGAAGGACATGCAACTGTTGGGGCAAGACCAGAGGAGGCCACAAAGCTGATCAGAGGGCTGGAGCAGCTTCCCTAGGAGAGAGTTGGGGCTGTTCGACCTGGAGAAGAGAAGGTTGTGTGGAGGCAACCCAGGACAGCAGCAGGGAAGGAGCAGATCAAACTCTGGTACCTTAGTATCTGGTACCTTAGACCTGGTACCACAGGAACTAGGCTGTGCCACAGCAATGAAGCAAACAATCCAGAATGAGCAAAGTAATGAGAGGAAAATATACTTCATCATCCACACTCTGCCACATTCTGTACAGAGACACCTGTCATTAAGCTAATTAAATAATGCAAAGGTATTTTCACAGAATCCTTAAGGTTGGAAAAGACCTCTGAGACCACCAAGTTGAACCTGGGACCCATCACCACTTCTCAGCTAGACCAGAGCTCTGAATGCCACATCCTGAGCTCCTTGGACACCTCCAGGGATGGTGACTCCATCACCTCCCTGGGAAGCACATCCCAGTGCCTGACAGCCCTTTCCATGGGGAAATTCCTCCTGATGGCCAACCTGACCCTCCTCTGGCACAGCCTGAGGTGTTTCCCCTGGTCCTGTCCCTGTTCCCTGGGAGCAGAGCCTGAGCCCACCTGGCTGCACCTCCTGGCAGGAGCTGGAGAGAGCAATGAGTTCCCCCTGAGCCTCCTGTTCCCCAGGCTGAGCCCACACAGCTCCCTCAGCCACTGCTCTCAGGACTGACTCTGCACACCCTTCCCCAGCTCTGTCCCCTGCCCTGGACACCTCCAGCCCCTGCATGTCTCTCCTGCAGAGAGAGCCCAGAACTGGTCCCAGCACTCCTGGGGCCTCTCCAGTGCCAGCACAGAGGGACAATCCCTGCCCTGAGCCTGTGGCCACACCATGGCTGAGCCAGCCCAGGAGCCACTGACCTTCTGGCACACCTGGGCACATGTTTAGCCCTTGTCAAGCAGCACCTGCAGGTCCTTTTCACTTCACACTTCATCAAGGTGCTTGGCACAAGGATTTAGTGCATCAGAGAACAGTCCTGGTGGCTCCACCTCACCAGGTGAGGTGCCTGGTGCCTCGGTAAAGCACTAAAACTCAAAATTGCACTGCCACAGGGAAAGTGGAGGCAAAACCCAACCTGAAACCATCTCAAGGCTCTGCTACTTAAGGCACATCCACCACACTTATGTATGTGCATGTGGACAAAAGAAGTTGAAGGAACAGTAATGGTTGAACTCATCAATGAAGAAAGCCCCATCTAGTGGAAGAAGGCAATCAATTGAGCAGAAAATGCTTCTAATGCGTATAATCCACAAATATTCCAGCTGGTTTTGTCCTCATCCAAGTGCTTTATAGACCCAGAACTCCTTTTGGCCTAAACAGCTCAAGATAGTCTAAAATCTGAACAGAAAACACCTTGTGCATTGGCTATAAATTAAATCAAACCATGGAATATTCTGAACTGGAAGGGACACGTGGATTATCCAAGTCCAACTCCAGGCCCTGCCCAGACACCCCAACCCTGCACCCTGAGCCTGAGAGCATTGGCCAACCCCTCCTGGAGCTCTGTCAGCCTTGGGGCTGTGACCACTGCCAAACTCCTGGAGCTCTGTCAGCCTTGGGGCTGTGCCCACTGCGCTGGGGAGCTGTTCAGTGCCCAAACACCTCTGGGGAAAGAACCTTTCCCTGATCTCCAGCCTAACCCTCCCCTGACACAGCTCCAGCTGTTCCCTCATCCTGTCCCTGTCCCAGGGCACAGAGATCAGAGCTGTCCCTGCACTGCCCCTCGGGAGGAGCTGCAGACCCTGCTGAGCTCTGCCCTCAGGCTCCTCTGCTCCAGATGAACAAGTTAGTTTGATAATATTAAGACAGGAAAACTTGCAATCCCTTTCCCCTGCTTTTCTTCCCTCCTCTTTGGCCTTCAACAGCCAAGAAAACCATTGAGAGAGTCAACTTGAGTGAAGCTAAACATGTTGGTACACTTCTCTGCAGAATTAAATCTTAATGGTTTGTATTCACCAAGGGGGTGGGAAGAAGGTTGCTCCAGCTTGTAAACACCACAGAGAACAATCTGACAGGTAACTATTATTCCATTCTTAGGGATAAAGGAAAGCAAACTGAATCTAGACAGTGTGATGACACTTAAGCATCTCTTGCCCACATGGAATATTCCATTCTGCCCCAAGCTGCTTGCTGAAAGTTGTGCAAATAAGAGTTCCAAAGCTCAGAGACTTTATGGCAAGAGGAAAAGTTTGAACATGCAACAAAATTTACATAGATATGTTCCCAAAATAGGCAGATGTCTTAACATGGTGCTCAGAGAGGTTGGGGCTGCTCCACCCCTGGGAGTGTTCCAGGCCAGGTTGGATGCAGCTTGGAGCAACCTGGACTGGTGGGAGGTGTCCCTGCCCAGGGCAGGGAGTGGGATGAGATAATCTTTGAGGTTCCTTCCAACCCAAACCATTCTGTGACACCCTCAAGCCTTCTCCACCATGGCAGAGGAGAAGCTGCTCCTGAAGCTCAGTGCTGCAGGGCCTGGAAGCTTAGTTGATTTCACCATGCCACATCCTTCGGAAAGAACCTTCTCGCCTTGCCATGTTCATGGAGTCACAGAATCAAGGCTGGAAAAGACCTTCAAGCTCATCCAGCAGAAAAACTTACTCAATTCCCTCCTTTTCCCCCTACTGAGTAATTACGAAGAACCAAAGGCTAAGAGAGTTGGGGTTGTTCAGCCTGGAGAAGAGAAGCTTTGGGGTGACCTCACTGTGGCCTTGTTGAGGTATCTCCAACTCCAGAAAAACTTACTCAATTCCCTCCTTTTCCCCCTACTGAGTAATTACGAAGAACCAAAGGCTAAGAGAGTTGGGGTTGTTCAGCCTGGAGAAGAGAAGCTTTGGGGTGACCTCACTGTGGCCTTGTTGAGGTATCTCCAACTCGTCCCAGTGTTCTACCATCAGGAACCTGCTGAGAAGGCAACCCTGTCTTCTCAGGCAAGTCAAGGATGAAGCAGTTGAACAAAACTGGGCCCAGTATGGAACCCCTGGGGGACACCAGCAGTGACAGCCTCCAACCAGACTCTGTGCCACTGGTCACAACCCTCTGGGATCTGCTGCTCAGCCAGTTCTCACTCCACTTTGCTGGCCACTCCTCCAACCCACACTTCTGCAGTTTTCTTAGGAGGAAATTAGCTCCTAAACCATATTTCTGGTATTAATTGCCATGGTAGAACAGGAATATTTTGGGGCTTGAAGTATTTAAGAAAATTATTGCTCTTGTAGATGAAGCAAATATGCCAAGGACACACTGACTCCAGTGTGGGTTAGGTATGTAAACTGAGCCAAGGCATTGAGCCTGTGCCTTGCCCATGGCCCTGGCTCTCAAAAAACACTGGAAGAATGTAAATAAGCATTACCAGCTCTAATCTCCTCATGGGCTATAGATTTGTGCCAACTCATTGTTTTTACTAGCCACTACTCCTCATTAATGAGCTGCTTTGAAATTGCTTTCACCACCGTGTGTTGTCCTTATTCCTAGGATCAGGAGATATTTATTTCTGGCACAAACCAAAGTAAACTGATTTCAATAAGGTGTGGAGCAGCATTTGAATTCAGGGAATGTTTCACTGTGGATTTGGTGGCTGTTTAAGATGCTCTAAAGAGCACTGAAGCCCTCAGAGCAGCTCCAGATTGGCTTGGGAGATGCTATTGAAGGGCATATTTGGGCAGGAGGATATTGCAACTGGTTGTAAAGTGATAGTAGCACAGGCTGTGGGTTTGCACTTTGTGGCTAACCTGTTTTCCTTGGCCTTGCCAGGCTCAGCCTTAATCATCCCTTTGTGACACTTGATGTCTCAGGGGTGAAGGAGGTGGTTTGGGGGCCCTGGTGGGGATGGAGGATATTTTTACTTGAGATGCTCCAAGGGAAGCTACAAGACAGAGCTTGGAAAAATACAAGATTCACACACTCCTTTGGGAAGGGAATGGTCCAAACCTTTTGCAGACCAAGAATCTGTTAACTGGAAGGAGCTGGGAAGAGATTTGAGGAGAAGGAGGTGTCCAGGTGGAAATGGGTTTAAATGCTGTGTATCTGAGCTTGAGATTTGTTGTTAATCATGTTAACCATTGGAAGGGGTGGGATGAGATGATCCTTAAGGTCCTCCAAACCCTTCCATGATTCTATGATTTTTGAGTTTTCCAGCTAAACTCTGCCTAATTCTGATTATTGAATTCGGATTATTCCTCACAATTTCCATGTTCTATTTGCCATTTTTTCACCGTGCCTTCCTGCTTTTCTTTCTCCTTTCAAATCAGATGTTGAAAAGCTGGCAATTTTCTTTTGTTATTTGCTTGCTTTGTCTCTTAATCTTTCTGTTTTGCTGTTCAGCCCAGTTATCTCCTCAGCCCACTTGTTCTCTCAGGTAGCAAACTCAGGTCTCACTTTTGTTCCTTTGCTGAGTGGGATTTGGGGACCTTATCTGAGCATTTGCCTGGGGAATTTGCTGCTGGAGGTGTGCAGGGACCCTGGTGGCTTCCAGGCTCTGCTGAGGAGCACAGGGTACACCACCAACAGTTTCTGATGGGGTCAGGAGGTAGAAAATACAGGTGAAAGTTTTAGATGTGCTTTGGAACTTGTGTGACAGGAGAAGAGGAGGGAACGGAGCTGGGGAAGGGTGTGCAGAGTCAGTCCTGGAAGCAGTGGCTGAGGGAGCTGTGGGGGCTCAGCATGGGGAACAGGAGGCTCAGGGGGAACTCAATGCTCTCTCCAGCTCTCCAGGAGGTTGCAGTGAGGTGTGGGTTGGTCTCTTCTGCCATGCCCCAAGTGACAAGACCAAAGGAAATGGCCTTAAGTAGCCCCAGAGGAGGTTCAGGTTAAATATTAGAACAATTTTTCCCTGTCAGTGTTCAGGCCTTGAAATGAGTTGCCCAGGGAGGTGGTGGAGTCACTGGAAGTGTTCCAGGGGCAACTTCATGACAGCGGAAGGTGTGAGGGTTGCCCAGAACAGCTGTGGCTGCTCCATCCCTGGGAGTGTCACAGGCCAGGTTGGATGGGGCTTGGAGCAGCCTGGGCTGGTGGGAGCTGTCCCTGCCCAGGGCAGTGGTGGCACTGGATGAACTTTAAGCTCCCTCCAACCCCAACCCAATCTAACCATGTCCTCCTTCAGCTTAAAACCATTCCCCCTCATCCTGTCACTACATGCCTTGCAAAAGGTTCCTCTACCTCCCTGTTTTTTAGCCCCTTAGGGTACTGGAAATGTCTATAATGTCTCCCCAAAACTTCTCTTCTCCAGCATGGAGTGACAGACACATGGTGGAGATCTCCTCCCCTTGCTGTCAAGTCTCCTTCACCTGTCAACAACTCCCACTTTGCAGGAGAACTAAGTCCTCATCAGGAGGACTGAAACCATGGAGTCACATCCACGGAGAGGATCCAAGAAGGGCTTTGCACCTCTGAAATCACCTTGTCCATTGCCCAATGCTCCTGAAACAAGGCTCAGGTCGGCAGGCTCCAACCAGCCCATCACACACAGTTCCATGAGAGGCTTAGGAGGAGCATGTTGCTAATTGCTGTTTTGATTACCACAGGCAGCTCCAACGCACTGCAAGTTGCTTAGCAACATTTGCCAGTCCTTGGGAGAGGCAGAAGCCATTTCAGAAGTAGCTTCAAGGAGAGGATGCAACCCACAGCACCTTCCTGCTGCACTGAGGGGAGGTCTGACATCAGAGATGCTAATCCACAAGGATTGTATCTCCTGCAAACCACAGACACCTGCAACATCCTGAATTGACAGGCTGAGAGCTGAGGGGAACAGCCTGCAGAGGAGAAGCTCCAGGGAGACCTTAGAGCCCCTTCCAGTGCCTCAAGGGGTGCCAAGAGAGCTGCAGAGAGACTTGGGACAAGGGCTGGAGGGACAGGACACAGGGAATGGCTTCCCCCTGCCCGAGGGCAGGGACAGGTGGAGATTGGGCAGGAATTGCTCCCTGTGAGGTGCTGAGGCACTGGCACAGGTTGCCCAGAGCAGCTGTGGCTGCTCCATCCCTGGGAGTGTTCCAGGCCAGGCTGGATGAGGCTTGGAGCAGCCTGGGCTGGTGGGAGGGGACCCATGGCAGGGGGGGGGACTAGGTGATCTTTAAGGTCCTTCCAACCCAAATCTTCTATGATTCCATGATTCTAAGTGTCTCAGAGAAACAAGAACTGCCTTGGACACACAACCAATTCTTACAAGGTACCTACACATGGTAATTAACATCAGAGGGAAAGGATCCATCCTGCCAATTAGCAACCAGTAGATTAAGTTCAAATTAGATCAGTAAACAGCCTGACTAGTTCGGAAAATAACTGCATTTAAAAATGACATCTAGTGACACTGTTCATGGTGTGGAAAGCAGCTCTGCAGGTCTGGGACTTGGGCTATGATGCCACAAGCACTGAACAGTGACAGAAACCCAACCCCAGGCACAATAAAGGACATGAATTGCTCCAAGCAGAGCACACAGAGCCCAAGAGCCAGTCTGAGCTCCCACCCCTTACAGCTACACTCCCAAAAAGCACAAGACAGACCAAAACAGAGTTAATTAGACACATTTTCAAGGAGCAGCACTCAAAGGATGGTCAGGAAAAAGGCATCATCCCTACCCTCCTCTCCTGTGACGCTCCTTGTGCTTGGAGATCTTGTAGGGTAGAGACCTCTCGCCCAGGTTCTCAAGGTTCCTCACGATGGCTCCTCTCTCCAGAAGAGCCTCAACAGTGCGTTTGAGCGCAGCAGCTGTCTCAGGCTTCAAAAGAGAGACAAAAACAAGTGGGAAATGGGTAGAAATCTGGTTATTCTTATTATTCATGGAGCTTACTCAGCTCAACACTCGGAAGGATCATTCTGTGACCTGAGAGGGCAAAGTGGAGGCAGAAGAAGCACATTTGGTTCCTTCCTATATTTCTTTCCTCCTTTTCTTCCTTCCACCCAATTTCCTTCCTTCCTAAGTCTTCCTAAGCCTTTCCTAAGGAAGAAAATGTTTATGAATTAGACAATTCCTGTTATGGCACAGCAAAGTTTCCAGCAGTTTTCCAAAGGAAAGGGTTAATGGATTTAACTCACCTGATATTGCTTTGAGCCTTGCAAAAGTGTAAGTGAATATCCATAGCAAAGAGCAGTGAGGAACTGACAACGGTTTGAAAGTCTCTGGACCATTGGTACTCATTAATGTTGTTCATCAGAACATTTAAAGTGAGGAGAACATGAATCTGTGGCCTAGTCTAGAGACAACAATTAGCATCACAGTCATTTGAGGTTGATACTCAACTGCCAAGTCACACTGATACAGCCATGGAACCTCCTGAGCTGGAAGGAGCCACAGGGATCATCAGCGCAACCCCTGCCCAGGACACGCCAACACTGCACCCTGAGCCTGAGAGCATTGGCCAAACCCTCCTGGAGCTCTGTCAGCCTTGGGGCTGTGACCACTGCCCTGGGGAGCTGTTCAGTGCCCAAACACCTCTGGGGGAAGAACCTTTCCCTAATCTCCAGCCTAACCCTCCCCTGACACAGCTCCAGCTGTTCCCTCATCCTGTCCCTGTCCCAGGGCACAGAGATCAGAGCTGTCCCTGCACTGCCCCTCGGGAGGAGCTGCAGACCCTGCTGAGCTCTGCCCTCAGTCTCCTCTGCTCCAGCTGAATAAGCCAAGTGCCCTCAAACACTCCTCATGTGACCCCTCCAGATCCTTCACCATCCTCATGTCCCTCCTTTGGACACTCTCCAACAGCTTTAGATCTTTCCCATATTGTAGCACCCAAAACTGTCCCCAGGACTCAAGGTGAGGCCACCCCAGCACAGAGCAGAGCAGGACCTTCCCCTCTCTCACCCACTGGTGATGCTGTGCCTGAGGCCCCCCAGGACACAGATGTCCCTCCAGACTTGCAGGGCACTGGTGACTCCTATTCCACTTGGCCCCTTGGCTGAATTACTCCACATCTCATTGCAGTTTGACTCCCACACGTTCTGCAGAGCTAAGGAACCAATGTGTAGCAATTAATCCAACATGCAGAGATTTCACTCCTCAGAGAAGCAAGTTTGAGGTCCAAGCAGCCAAAAAGCAGTAGGTGAACCAGATGCAACATTCTCTTGCTCACTGTGTGTCAGCACTGAATCATTTGGGTAGTGACATGCAACAAAGGCTCTGAAAATGTTCAAGTCCAATGAGAATGTTTTGAATACAACTTCAAGCTTAAACCTTCTCAGCAACAAGAACAAGAAGACATTGATCTTCTGCAAAGAGAAGAGGCTAAATGGGTGTCCAACTGCACCCAAAGCAGAGTGTACAGCTATCAAGGTGCACTCCCAAGTCCACTTGTGCAGTTGGATGGGAATGGAAAAGGAGTGGAAGAGCTGATTTACAGCTGTACTTGGGTTTGATTTGGTTAAATCAGACCAGCAGCTCTGTTCCTGCTCAGGCGGAAGAAAACTGGTCTAAACCTTCAATCACCTCATGCATAAGATGACTCAAAGTTAGTTTTCTGAGGTATAGATCACAGAATCGAGGTTGGAAGAGACCTCCAAGCTCATCCAGTCCCACCAGCACCGCAATAACCACCCCTAAACATGTCCAAACTGCCCATGACACCTCTGGGACACTCCCAGAGACAGTGACTCCACCACCTCCATGGGCAACTCATTCCAAGGCCTGAACACTCTGGAAGGGAAAAATTTTTCTAATATCTAACCTGAGCCTCCTCTGAAGAAACTTCAGACCATTTCCTCTCAGCCTTTCACTTGGGACATGGCAAAGAGACAACTCACACCTCACTGCACGTCCTGGCAGGAGTTGTAGAGAGCAAAGAGTTCCCCCTGAGCCTCCTCCAGACTAAACACCCTCAGCTCCCTCAGCTGCTAGGACATGTTTCCTAGCTCCTTTACTCTTTGCTCTTTGAACTTGTTGGGCCAATTCAAACTAGGTTAGAGTATGGAAATCAGCAGAGTCTGTGATAAACAGTAGACGAACCAAAGTTTCCCAAGTTCTCCACCAAAGTACATGCACAAAGTTCACCAAGTTCTCCAAGGGTGAAGCTGTTTGAGAGGCCTCTGGTTTGAGTGCAGGCAGGAGGGGTAACCAGAGCTACAATCCCACCCCAGGCCCTACATGCTCCTGTGAGCCCTTCCTCCTCCCTGACATGGATATCTTGGCACCAACTTCCAATTCCTCCTGTTCTCTCTCTGCCCCAGCTTTCCCTCCCCACATTTGTAAGCCAGGAATTAGTGCTATTCAGGAGAAAACGTTGTAGCTCCTGAGTTGGGAGCCAGAAAACACCATTTGCTGCCCTCAGCTGCTCTGGCTCTGAGGCAAACCAAGGAACCTGTGTCTGTGGGTGTATTGGTTAGCAGAGAACAGCCTATATATAGGTTGGTCCATGGCTTTGGGCAAGCTGTGCTAACCCAGGATCATTTTTGGACAGGGATGACAGTGAGAAGCTTTGCAAACCAACAATTAGTTTATGTTTTCATAGGATGTCCACAAGTTGGTTGCAAAAATGTGTCATATTTGACCATCATGAATGTAGAAATCTGTGGCTTTCTGTTCTTGTGCTTTTCTGTTTGCTTTTGGGTTGAAATACATGGGATTGGATTGAATCTTGGGCCTCATTGGGGTTAGAAACTGCATATGGGATTGGACATGGAGCCACTCAGAGAATGTGCTGATGTGTTGGTGTGGAGAAGAGACAAAAAGCTTCTGTGGCACTTGGGGGGAGGAGGGATGAGAGGAGTGAGTTCACCCAATAACATCTCATTGAGATCTTCACAGTGGTTAAGGGCACGGCAGGAAGGACCTCATTGCTCTCCACAACTCCCTGCCAGGAGGTGCAGCAAGATGGGAGCTGGGCTCTTCTGCCATGTCCCATGTGAAAGGACAAGAGGAAATGGGACTTGAGTTGCACCAGGGGAGGGTCAGGTTGGCCATCAGGAGGAATTTCCCTATGGAAAGGGCTGTCAGGCACTGGAATGTGCTGCCCAGGGAGGTGGTGGAGTTACCATCCCCGAAGGTGTCCAAGGAACATGTGGATCTGACACTTGAGGACATAGTTTACTGGTAAACACGGTGGTGGTGCTGGTTGACAGTTGGACTTCATGATCTGAAAGGGTTTTCTAACCTTATGGATTCCATGATCATCTGCTTCTGGTTTCTCCCCTTCTCCTCAGGAGTCCTTCAGCTGTTTAGCCTGGAGAAGAGGAGGCTCAGGGGAGACCTTCTCACCCTCTGCAACTCCCTGACAGGAGGCTGGAGTCAGGTGGGGGTTGGTCTCTTCTCCCAGGCAACCAGCAGCAGGACAAGAGGGCACAGACTCAAGCTCTGCCAGGGGAGGGTTAGGTTGGATATTAGGAAGAGATTTTTTACAGAGAGAGTAATCAGGCATTGGAATGTGCTGCCCAGGGAGGTGGTGGATTCACCATCCCTGGTGGTTTTTCGGATGAGACTGGATGTGGCACTTGGTGCCATGGTCTAGTAACCATGGTAGGGTTGGACTTGATGATCTTGGAGGTCTTTTCCAACCTGGTTGATTCTATGATTCTATGATAAGAAAGAGGATAAAAGGGAACATGGTATAGGATATTTAATTGTCACAACCTATTTTAGTGCCCAAGTGAGAAGCAAAAAACAGGTGTGAAAACAGCTGAAGAATGGTCAGCAAAGAAGGAAATTAAGGCTAATATTAAACCCCAGACCCAGGACAGAACAGAGCTCATGGCTGGGTGGGTGTTTTAGCTGTCTGGGGAACAAAGCTGAGCTCCTGCCACAAGGCACAAAGCTGCAATTACCCTAAAAGCATAAACAAGGCAGAAGGACAGAGCTGGGGAGGGACAAGCACTGCAGGAGATGTGCTAGTCAGCACAGATCCCCACACAGATAAGAGCAGGGGATCAAGCAAACAGAGGATGTGGGAGCTGTGCTGCAGCTCTGGGAAAAGCAGGCTGTGACCCAGCAGGATGACTGGGAACAGCCCCAAACTGTGAGGAGGCTCAACAACTGCTTGGAGGTTCAGATCCAGGCAGGGATGGGGAGGGATGGTAGAATCACAGAGTGGTTTGGGTGGGAATGAACTTAAAGATTACTGTTCCACCCCCTGCCCTGGGCAGGGACACCTCCCACCAGCCCAGGCTGCTCCAAGCCCCATCCAACCTGGCCTGGAACACTCCCAGGGATGGAGCAGCCACAGCTGCTCTGGGCAACCTGTGCCAGTGCCACCAGCACCTCACAGGGAGCAATTCCTGCCCAAGATCCACCTGTCCCCGCCCTCTGGCAGTGGGAAGCCATTCCCTGTGTCCTGTCCCTCCAGCCCTTGTCCCAAGTCCCTCTCAGCAATCTTGTCTTGGAGCCAGGCACTGGAAGGGGCTTTAAAGTCTCCCCAGAGCCTTCTCCAGGTGATCACCCCCAGCTCTCCCAGCCTGGCTCCAGGGCAGAGATGTTCCAGCCCTGTCACCAGCTTAGTGACTCCTCTAGACTCATTCCAACAGGTCCAAGTTTTTCTTGTGTTGGGGACCCCAGAACTGGATCAGTTTAGGGAAAGCTGCACATAGGAAAGCACCAGACAGGAACAGAGGTTTCTGTAATGACAACAAAATGATGATTTTCCCTAGACAGAATAAGAAGCAAATGGGACAAACTCAGGTGCTCCTGACCATGACAACCAGTTTGTGTTTCCATCGAACAATGATTGAACAAAAGCTCAGGAGTCTATTCTAGAAAGAGATCTGGCAAATAGCAAGAAAGTTACATCAGGCAACTCATTGAAAATAAGGTGGGGGAAGTGATCAAAATTGACTCAGTCTGAATTAAAAATAACACCTCAGCCT